ATGAGATCATCTTGGGAGATCCAGCTCAGAGTCCAGAATTCAAGGACCCACCAGAGATGCCCCTGGAAAGACCCTCCCAGGATCCCTCAGTCCTCCAGGACCGCCCAACCCCACTGGGTCACTCCAGCCCCTTAGACCACCAGACCTCTCTGGACCCCTCCACCCCCGAGGTAGTCCCTACCCCATCTGACTGGACCAAGGCCTGTGAGGCCAGTTGGCAGTGGGGGACTCTGACCACATGGAACAGTCCCCCGGTGGTCCCTGCCAATGAGCCCAGCCTGCGGGAGCTGGTACAAGGCCGCCCCTCCGGGGCCGAGAAGCCCTACATCTGCAACGAGTGCGGCAAGAGCTTCAGCCAGTGGTCCAAGCTGCTGCGGCACCAGCGCATCCACACGGGTGAGCGGCCCAACACCTGCTCCGAGTGCGGCAAGAGCTTCACGCAGAGCTCGCACCTGGTGCAGCACCAGCGCACACACACCGGCGAGAAGCCCTACAAGTGCCCAGACTGTGGTAAATGCTTCAGCTGGAGCTCCAACCTGGTGCAGCACCAGCGCACGCACACGGGTGAGAAGCCCTACAAGTGTACCGAGTGCGAGAAGGCCTTCACGCAGAGCACCAACCTCATCAAGCACCAGCGCTCACACACGGGCGAGAAGCCGTACAAGTGCGGAGAGTGCCGGCGCGCCTTCTACCGCAGCTCCGACCTCATCCAGCACCAAGCCACGCACACGGGCGAGAAACCCTATAAGTGCCCCGAGTGCGGCAAGCGTTTCGGCCAGAACCACAATCTCCTCAAGCACCAGAAGATCCACGCCGGGGAGAAGCCATACCGCTGCACCGAGTGTGGCAAGAGCTTCATCCAGAGCTCAGAGCTGACCCAGCACCAGCGCACGCACACGGGCGAGAAGCCCTACGAGTGCCTCGAGTGCGGCAAGAGCTTCGGCCACAGCTCCACCCTCATCAAGCACCAGCGGACCCACCTGCGCGAGGACCCCTTCAAGTGCCCTGTGTGCGGCAAGACTTTCACGCTGAGCGCCACACTGCTGCGGCATCAGCGCACACACACGGGCGAACGGCCCTACAAGTGCCCCGAGTGCGGCAAGAGCTTCAGTGTCAGCTCCAACCTCATCAACCACCAGCGCATTCACCGCGGCGAGCGGCCCTACATCTGCGCCGACTGTGGCAAGAGCTTCATCATGAGCTCCACGCTGATCCGCCACCAGCGCATCCACACCGGCGAGAAGCCCTACAAGTGCTCCGACTGCGGCAAGAGTTTCATCCGCAGCTCCCATCTCATCCAGCACCGACGCACACACACGGGCGAGAAGCCCTACAAGTGTCCCGAGTGTGGCAAGAGCTTCAGCCAGAGCTCGAATCTCATCACCCATGTGCGCACCCACATGGATGAGAACCTCTTCGTGTGCTCCGACTGCGGGAAGGCCTTCCTGGAGGCACACGAGCTGGAGCAGCATCGGGTGATCCATGAAAGAGGGAAGACTCCAGCCCGGAGGGCTCAGGGTGACACTCTGCTAGGGCTTGGGGACCCCACGCTGCTGACCCCGCCCCCCGGAGCCAAACCACACAAGTGTCTTGTTTGCGGAAAGGGGTTCAACGACGAGGGCATTTTCATGCAGCATCAGAGAATCCACATTGGAGAAAACCCCTACAAAAATTCAGATGGCCTCATCGCACACCAAGCTCCCAAGCCACCTCAGTTTCGACCCCCCAGGCTCCCTTTTGGAGGGAATTCCTATCCAGGTGCTGCGGAGGGCAGAGCTGAACCCCCAGGACAGCCCTTTAAAATGCCTGAGGGGCAGGAGAGCTTCAGCCAAAGGCTGGGCCTGCTTTCCTCCAAGTCCTATATTTGTTCCCACTGTGGAGAAAGCTTCCTGGATCGCACCGTGCTCCTCCAACACCAGCTTACCCATGGCAACGAGAAGCCCTTTCTCTTTCCTGATTATAGGATTGGCTTAGCAGAAGGGGCAGGGCCCAGTCCCTTCCTAAGTGGAAAGCCCTTTAAATGCCCTGAATGCAAAAAAAGCTTTGGCCTCAGCTCCGAGCTGCTGCTGCACCAGAAAGTCCACGCAGGCGGGAAACGCCAGAAGAGTCCAGAGCTGGGGAAGAGTTCCTCTGTCCTCCTGGAGCACCTCAGGAGCCCCCTGGGGGCCAGACCCTACAGCTGTTCAGATTGTGGGGCCTCCTTCCTTGATCGCCTGGCCCTCATCCGGCATCAGGAAACTCATACCCAAGAAAAGTCCCCCAAACCTGAGGAACCCCTTCCAGAGCCAGCCACCCTGTCCACAAGCCAGGAAGGTGAGGGACAGACGCCCGCTCCCACAGGGAGCAGCAGCCACAGGGAAGGGGACACACCCAAAACCGTCTTGGAAGAAAAGCCCTATTTGTGCCCTGAGTGTGGAGATGGCTTCACAGAAGTCGCAGCCCTCCTCCTCCATAGGAGCTGCCACCCCGGGGTTGCCCTGTGAAATGGGTCTAGAAACCAGGGGCCTCTCTCCTGAGAGGATCACTGGATCTCCCCAAAAATTATGTGGGGAAAGGAAGAAAACCCTATCAGATTGTAGAGATGCAGAGGATAAAAGACCCTGGGTAAAAATAGTGCTTTTACATCAGTGATGAGAAAACCTATAAAATTGTTGGTGGAAACCACTTATAATGCCGTAGAGAAAAACTGTTGGGTTAGAAACCCTATAAATATGTAGGAAAAAAAGCCCTTTAAGTCTGTAGCAGAGAAACCCTATAAACTATAGTGGATAAAAGCCCTATTAATTGTAGGAAGAGGTCTCAATGTCTCTAGACAACCCTAAAAAACTGTATCAAAATCCTTGTAAAACTATAGGGTCGGGGAAGTGCAGGGAATATAGCAATGGCATTGACTTGGGAGGAATGACCCTCAGAAGGTGTAGAAGAACCTCCCATGAACTTGTTCCAGTGTTCTCTCCCACTGGAGGGAGGTTCATCCCCAGAAGCCTTGGACAATTACACTGAGGAAGATGCTCAGTGGGGAGTAGTGTGGGAATTGGGTGAAACTGGAAAAGGATGAAAACAAAGACAGGAGAAAAATAAGTGATGAGGAGCCCTCAAACCCACAGAGGAGAAATGACCCAGGAACTAGGAAGAGAAAGTCCAGCTCATTGTACTGTGGGTACCTCAGGGTATAAGGCCAATCTTACATGCATGTTAGAGAAAGAGTCCCATGGAATTCTTTACAAAAAGCCAAGAATGGGGAGGGGAAAGACAAAAAAAATGATGTCGAGCCTTTTTAAAATCTGAAGTTTGGGGTGCTTAAAAACCTTAATACTGGGAAACCACCACAAAAATTAGGGTGAAAGGTGGGGGGATTCTGTTAGAGTGCTTTGAGGGAAGGAGACGAAGCTGAGAAACTTCAGATGGAACCCAGCAAACTCCAGGCTGCCCAGTCCTCCCTGGTTCCGGGAGCTTGTTTAAACTGCAAGTGCAAATGGATCCCAGCTCAGGCCGCCCGAGTCCTTCCCAAGTCAGGCAAGATGACCCTTTCCCAGCCCAGCTGGGGACTTCTACTCTGAGAGGCCTCCAGGGATGGAGGGTCCCTTCTGCTACATTCTCAGGTCTCACTGTCAGGAGGTTTCTCCTGAAATCTAACTGCCACCAGTCTTGCTGCAGTGGCAGCCCGTTTCCTCGAATTCTGTCCTCAGTGGAAAGGGAGAACTGCTGCTAGTCAACCTCCAAAGAATAAAGCCCTCAGAGACTCAAGGCCTATGTGTGCTCAAATCCTCCCTAGACTGCTCTTCTCCAAGTCAGTGAGAGCCTCATGTAGGTTCTGTGTGGCAACGAGAGAGAGCAAGTAGACAAAATAGCCAGCAACCTTTGATTAGCCAGCAACCTGCTTTTAAACTTCAGTTTTTCCTCTGAGCTGATAGCAAGGCTGCTGGCAGGATGAGCCAGCCTGCATGTAGTGACGGATGTCCAAACACCCTGCAGATGGGACCATGGGTCCTTGAAGAGTATATTGAGGCCAGACCACCTTCCTCACCCCAGTACCTGGAACCCTCTGTGGTTGTGACAGCCCAACCCAATTGTGGTCTTGGGACGAGATGGATTCCACCCACTCAGCTCCTCTTTAACCAGAAACCTTTGGAGGGAAATGGAAAGATGAGAAC